GTATCTTGAGCTGGAACTATTTCAGTAGACTCAGAATGTACAACTGTGGTAGAAGGATTAGGCTGAAACAAAGATGTAATCTCTGAAGGTTCATCAACATTAGGAAACACTTGCCATGCAGTAGATGAAGAAGAAGCAAATGGAAATATAGCTTCTATAAATAGTACATCTCTGCTAATGAAAAAGGTTCTGTCCTTGATGTTGTATAATATATATCCCTTTGCATGAGCACTATAGCCCATGTGTACAACAATCACACTCCTAGGATGAAATTTATCCTTAATATGCATATTCTTAGCAAAAGATAGACAACCTATCACCCTCATATGCTGTAGGGAAGGTTTGCATTTGTGAAACATTTCATATGGAGATTTGCCATGCATAACAGGTGTAGGCAACCTATTTATAATATATGCAGCATTAAGAATGCAATGTCCCCAAAATCTGATAGGAATATGACCTTGGAATCTAATGGCTCTGGCCACCTCAAGTATGTGTCTGTGTTTTCGTTCAGCTATACCATTCTGCTGAGAAGTGTGAATGCAGGTTTGTTGATGAATAATACCCATGCTTGTATACAAATGTGTACACTCAGTGTTAACAAACTCAGAACCATTATCAGTACGAATGATTTTAACTAATAAATTGAACTGAGTTTTGACTAGAGCAAAGAAATTTTTCAATACAACACAAACATCACTCTTCATCTTTATTAGAAACAGCCACAACATTCTAGTACAATCATCAACTATAGTAACAAAAGAGTTTTGCTTCTCCCGATCGTCGAGCCTGATCGACTCGACTCTTTTCCCTGCCCCCCGGCCTCTCACTTCGTTTCGTTCTTCTTCTGTAGTTCTATTGCCATCATATGTAGGAGTATGAAATGGATCTCAAACATCTATATGTATCAATTGAAATGGACTAGAATATATTGTAGAGCTATTTGTAAAAGGAAGTCTTGGTTGTTTAGCAAGAGGACACATAGTGCAGTTGTGAACTTCCTTTAAACACTGTGTAACTGGAAGATTGAAAGTTCTAGCTAGAACATTAGAAGAAGTATTACCAAGTCTTTGGTGCCATAGGATAGTTTGTGAATCTGATGAACCATCATTAACTAAATGAGAGTATGCTTGAGAGGTAGTACTATCTGTAGAAGATGAGGGATGAGGAATGAGGAATGAGATAAAGTCCAGCCTGTTCTCTACCAATCACCTTCACCTGCCCACTGGAGAGATCCTGAATAGTCACAAAGTCAGGATAAAAACATACTGCACACTGTAGATCCTTAGTAATTTTTGAAACTGACAATAGACTGAACTTAAAGTTGGGAATAAGAAGAACATTATTGATAATGTCTTGAGAAGTCATATTACTAGAGCCTGTATGTGTGATCAATGTACTATATCTATTTGGTAGTTTTACACTTCTAGGTGCATCAGTAGGCAAAGGATGTTTATTAATCAATAACTTTGAGTGAGGATTCATATGATTTGTTGCACCAGAGTCTATAATCCATCATGTATGTGCTATACTAGATGAAAGAGCAGTAACATTACCTGATGAAGGATAGTTTTCTTGAGCTAGATTTGCACTGGAATGTGGATTTGAATCTCTTTCAGTGGTGCCCTGCATATTGGATTGACCAAGCATATGCAAGATTTGATTATATTGTTCATGCAGTACATTCAATCCTTTGTGATAACCAACAGGATCAGATTGTCTAGCACCTCTACCATAACCTTGATTTCTTTGATTCTCAACTCTATTAAAATCATAATGATCAGTGTCACTAATTGCATTATGAGAAGATGGATAAGATCTATCATTATTTGATATTTCTCTTCCTTAACCTCTCTTCTTCCTTTCATAACCAGGTGGATAACCATGAAGTTTATAACATACAGCCTGCATGTGTCCTGTTCTTTTACAGTACTCACAAAATGCATTTGGATCATAGCTTGAGTTAGTATGAGATCTTGGTTTGGGAACTGATGATTGAGCAGTAAACAAGGCATTAAGGTCAGATGAACATGAACTGTGAGAGGTTTGTGACATGATACGCTGACTTTCTCTTTCAACTAGTAGTGAGTAGGCCTTATTACTGTAGGCAAAGGTACCATCATTAGAATTTGACTTCTAGCTTGCTCATAAGAATCATTTAATCCCATGAGAAACTGCAGTAACTTCTGATTGTGCATGAACACTACAAACTCTCTTGAATTCACACATTCACAGCCAGGAACAGGTGCCAAACTATCATATTCTACCCACAACTCACGCAACTTAGAAAAATAGCTTGAGATTGAATTTGTACCTTGACTGATAGTAGCAATTTCTTTGTGTAATTGAAAGATACGTGATCCATCAATCTTGTCATATCTTTCACACAAATCCTTCCACACAGCAGCTGCATTGGTGGAATAAACAATGCCTCCAAGCAATTCCTTTGAAACACAGTTTCATAATCCACGAAAGCACTATGGCATTGCATCGTTCCCATAGATTTGTCAAATTAGGACCATAGAACTCCTTTCTGCATGATCCGTCAATAAATCCAAGTTTATTGCGACCTATAATGGCAATTTTCATAGCTCGACTCCATACTGAAAAGTTATCAGCTCCAGTTAGTTGAATCGAACTAAGTAACACACATGAGTTGTCAATTGAATGTAAAAACAAAGGATGATTATGGCTCAGCTTCTCAGGCAACTCATTGTAGATAGTTGCCATGGTTGACTGAGATCTTGAAGCTCTACAGTGATAGCTCTGATACCATGTTAGCTATCTTGTAGCTGGTTATTTGATGCATATTAAGCACACAAATGTGAGAAGAGATGCAGAGAAGAAGAAGAAGAAGAAGAAGGAACATAGAAGAAGAAGAAGAATAGAGGAAGAAAAGTAGTTTATTCAAATTGTATATCTCTCCCTTATGATATGTACATATGAATATATATATACACAAGAATGAAACAAAATTGTTCTAACTAATCTAACTACCTTCTAACTACTCTAACAACTTCCTTGAAGTGTAGTCCTTTTAATTATAGTTATTTACACAATGATCCTAACACAATCTCTTATGTAATGCCTTCTTTAATAATATGTCTACGTATAATTTCAACCACATTTGAATATTTATGCTAGCGTGATTTTAGGGTAATTGTTAGAAAATCATCTGTTAGATTTTAAGGGTTCTCAATTTTCTTTTTCTTCTTCTAGAATATAAGATTTTCTTGTTGGTTTTTTTTTTCAGGTCAAGAAATTGCTAATTTGAAAACATTTTAATTATTTTTTATGCCTATGCTAAAAGAGTGTTACATTCTGAGGGTTGTATTATTTCTTGTTCTTTTAAAATTTTGGTGTTTTTTTAATAGTCTATGATATTTAGAGTTGAAATTTTAGTTCATGATTAAAAATTAATTCATACTTTAATGAGTTAGATCACTTATATTGCAATTAGATAAATATGATAACATGTGAGTGTTCATATACAAACTCATTTTTATAAATAGAAAAAAATATTTTCCTTAAAATTTTAGAGAGAACATTTACTCCTTTTAATACCTAACCGAGGAAACAATCTTCTTTAAAATAAATATGATAAATAATGATAAGATACCAAATATAACAAGTGGCGCGACAAAGAATGGATTGAATCAAATTTGTGTAGATTGAAAATGGATAATAAATGAAATGAAATGCGCCATATGAATATGGATAAATTATGAATTGGATGAATCGTTCTAATCCATATTAATCGACCTAGGACTTGACTTGATCAATCCGACCTTGACCTCAATCTGGAATCTAACCTCAATTTCAATTCGAAACCCTACCTCAATATGAGATCTAGCCTCAACCCTACCCCTAACCTAATTCTGACTCTAGATATGAATCATATGGAACTCTAACCACGACCACGATCTCGACTTGAGCTTCAATTTTAGTTCTTGATTAAACCTTAATTTAGGACTTGATCGTGACTCCAACCCCGACTCAGGAACAAACCATGAGTTAAGGGGGTAGGTGGAGATGGACTGGTAAGGGTGAGGGTTGATAGTACGAGGGGTTGGGTTGGGCATTTGTGTGTTTTTATTGATCTTGTCAATTTTTTCTGATTATAGATTAGAGTGTAGACATACTATGGTGTAAAAGAGTGTAGACATATATTGTCATCACAAGTTTGATCATTTATACATGAAATTGATTTTTTTTTCCATTTAATTTTAAGGAAAATAATATTTTAATACAATATAATTTTACAGTTGAATAATATTGGCATAAATTTATTTTCAAATTAATTTTGAATAACACATTAAACAAATAAGGATATATAAAAAAAAACCATCCTATAACATTTAATTATTATTGCAATAAAAAATTTATTAAAAGATAGGTAAAATAGCGAGTAAAAAATTATTGCATATATATTATTTATCAAATTTTAAAGATTATATTTTTAATTATATTAAGAAAAAAAAATAACCAAACATCTCGAACAAATACGTAACACTATTTTAATTTGTCGAAACATTTCTTGAATTTATTCCTTTTTTCTATTTAATATAGATAAATATCCTTGTCTTAATATGAAGTAACAAACGATTTAATAATGACATGAATTTAATCTCCCACTAAATAGTAATATACCAATACAAATTTAAAAATTAATACTATGTATAATTTTTATTTTAAAAAATAAATAAGTAAAGAGAAATCAATAATATAAATCACAAATTACTACTATAAATTAGAATATTTTCATATATATATACATGCATCAACTCCCCATATATATATATATATATATATATATATATATATATATATATATATATATATATATATATATATATATATTTCCTTATTTAGAAGAGGAAGTTGTAAAGGACTAACAGAGCTCTAAAAATTTGTACCAAGAGAATTGAAAATTGTGCTATACCATTGAACTCTTATTTCCTAATAAACAAACACGTTTACCACATGTGTCCTTCTGCATTCCACGGTATTTTATTTTAATTCTTTGTCATTTTCTATCTCTTTTTTTTCTTTTTTTTTCCCATTCTCACTCTTGGTAGAGAAGGAGAAGAAGAGACTTTGAAAAGGAGAAGAGCAAATTGATGAAAAATTAGAGCACAATGATTCGAATTTCGAGCAGGTGCATAATTTAGTGATGAAATTTTACATTTAGCTATCAAAATTGGAGGTAATTTTTCATTTCGATCATAAATTTTGGGTTTCCCTTCCAGTTTTTGGGTTTAATTATTTTATTTTTTGTCTTTAGTTTTTCTGTGTGTTTTAATGTGGAATTGGAAAAAGTTAACAAAATGGGTGCAACAAAGAAAGAAAGATGAAGTAAAAACCTTGTGAGCTTTTGGCGTTTAACTGAATACACATGCATGTACTAATTCACTATTTTGTCTCAATTTCATAGGCGTATATAATATTAGGAAGAATTCAATGAGAATACAGAAAAGGTCTATGCGCAAAATCACTTTTGGTGATTTTCCTGCCCCTTTCTTTCTCTATAATTTTATCCCGTTGATAAGTTTATGAGAAATTAGATAACATTTTTCACTTTTCTGATTCATTATCTTCTGTCTGCTACATATTCTCGACTTATTATTTAACGAATGTTTGATCGATTAGAATCTGTTTGATTCATTTGCATTATCGATTTAGTAGAGTTGTATTCAATTAGCATTTCTCAATGTTAATGTACAAACATTGAGACGCAACTCAAATATTTTGCATTCTCACAAGTCACATGGAAAAAAATTATGAACTAGAGGAGAATCTGCACGGTTCAAACATTGGTCCTAATTGAGAAACAAAAAATAACAAAAGAAGTTGTCACACTAACAACATCCGGTCAAAATGATGTAGACTTTGTAGCTGAACATTAATTAGGTATCAAACATCTATTGCAATGTTTCTTTTCATGAAGTAATAGATTTTATAGAAAGAACAGAAATTAGATCATTGAACATCTATTGTAGTTTTTACTTTTTTATACAACTATTAATTGGGTTGCAGCTTCCTGGTGCCATAGAAATAGGGGTGTAAACATGCGCTTTTAGTACAAAACTTATATGAGCATATGTTTGTCAGTTTGTGCTTGACACACTTGGAGTGATAAGTGGACAAAGAAATTCTTTGAAGTGGCTGAGAGTTAGCAAGAAACCTTGGCCTCTTGGCAAGAGGTTCGTTGTCCCCGTCCTTACTGGTCCGGCCGCAGTACAACACCTGAACTCGAAGCTACGATCATATCCGCTGGGATATGTGGTCATGTCCGACCCATTAGAAGCTAGGAGATCTTTGGTGTATTACGTGATCTTGAAGAAGAAAGCCTGGAGATTTAAAACTTCAAATTAAATTGTGAAATATTTAGATTATGTGTTGTTGGATTTTATTAGCAAAGTCTTAATGAGATTAATTATCAAATTTGAGGATGTTTGATGAAGAATTAGGGTGCTTTTATCTAAGACTTCAGCTACAACTTTGAAACTGAAAATTAAGTGTATTATCTTCTGCTATTGTATAGGCGATACCAAGAATATCTTCTTCATGTTCTTCATTTGGTCAAAGCTAAACAATGAATCGAATACTTTAAAGCTCAGGTATTGCTTTGTTCTTCATTGAAAAAAATTAAGAAGGGACAGTCTTTTAATTTTCAAAACATTATAAGTAAAACAAAAGGACTATATTTTCTTTCTAATTTTCAAATTATATTTTGCTTCCAACTGCTAACTCTTTTAGTTTCCAATTGTTGCTCTTAAAAGTTAACCACCATATTTGCAATAAATGTTACTGTTGTCTGACCAACATAATAATTTAAATGAACTTTGAGAAAATAATCTTCTCTGTAGCATACATGGGTCAAAGGCATTGTTACTTGGTATTTCTGTACTGTTAACAATTTATTATTTACTGTTGTTAAAAATGAAATTTATACACCGATAATCACAAAGAGAATCAAGAGGATCAGAAAAGTTGAACATGCCACCGTAGATAAGACTCCTACATTAATAACATGGATAAGATAGTTAAGAGAGATATATGAGGTTGAAAATACACCAGATATAAATATATTTCTCTTTTAGCTATCATGACGCTTTGATCAACATACACCATAGATTAACCCTTTTGTATCACTTATTAAAAGTGTGATTCATGTAGTTGCTTTTTTATCATTGATCAGGCTGAATTTACTGGATTGGAGCTGCATATTATGGACCTAGACCTTTAGTAGAGTTTATGACCTTCAACTTTTCCAAGGTAAGAGTCAACCATAAAAAAGAGCCCAAACTCTTTTTTTTTAGTTCTACTTTTACTTTTACTTTCTCAAATTTTCTATCTCAGCTTTTCTCATATGACGAAATGGTTGTTGCTATGATGCTCAAAACTATACTTATAACATAAACAATGTATAGAGATCAATTTTATATGACTTAGGTAACACATAAAGATTTTAGTTCCTCTTGGAGAACCTGTTTCATAAGTTGTCTATTTCTGTAATTATCAGAATTAGGTCTATTTTTTAACGCTCAGTAAGCTCTATTCTCCATATATAGCTTAACAGGGGTGAACATTCCGTCGAGAGTTATTGCAGATAAAAAGAATTGAGCATATCAGTCGAGATCATGAAATTTGTCCAGAATTAAGTAATTTTCGAGGGCGACCACCTTCAATTATTAATGTAGTAAGTTCGTTTGGTTATAACTTTAACGCATAATAATCTCCAAGAGCATCATCATTATGATTTCACAAAATGTGATAATGTTATAGCTAATTTTGTGTTTCTCCTTACTTTTTAATAATTCAAGCATGTTCAATCCTTCTTAGATAATGACGGCACTCTTTTATTACAAGATATTTAATTTTAAGTGCTTAAACTAAAATTTTATCTAATCAACCGAGTGTTCTCTTTTATTGTGCAAATGTGTTTTCTAGTTGACCTCAAATCATAATTGTTGTGATTCATTGCAATACGGCCTGTTTTGCTATGAGCAAAACTGATAGTCTGATACTGTGTTTTATTTCAATCACCAACCATTAGTGGTTAAATTTGTGAATTAGATACTAAGTTATTTTGTGGAGATCACTAATTAATCAGTAATAGCAATTATAAATTTATAAAATGAGTAAATTAAAATAAAGTCGATACCACCCAACTTAGTATCTTATCATGGTTGGTTTGCTTATTCCTGGTAGTATCTTAGCTTGACTTTGTTTTGATAAATACACAAAAAGTGGAATTCGTTATTGGGAAAAAAGGGAATATAAAGAGATAGTTTGTTGTGACAAACCATATTTCATTCTGTAAATTCTCTTTTAAAATAATTTTTACTTCTAAAATAATGAAGGAAAAGGAACTTTCTTTCTAAAACATAAGCAAACTGACCAGGATCCTACCCTCATCAATACTGTGCAACCATCCTCCATTTGTTCATTTTTGCTACTCGCCCACTTTTTCCTTGCTACTCAATTAAATTTTTAACAGAAACCTACGAAAAGCTATAAAAGGAACAAATGTAAAATTGAGAGACGGATGTTACAACAAATAGTATGTTATAAGCCATTTTGAATGTACCATCTAGTGAGTTCTCCCCCAAGAAAATAGTACTAATAACGGCAGAAATGTTCTCTTGTTGCTCTTCCTGTAACTATGCCTCAATGGCCCTTCCCTTGGGGCATGACACTCAATTATATATGTGAACACATTTATTTATGATTGTGGAGGTTAACTGATATAGTTTTCATGTTTTTGATTACCTCATCATCACTTATTTGCACTTGTATAATCTGAAATAAGAAAATTTGATAAGGTAGGTCTTAACTTTTTTCACTGTTCAGTGAATTTTTCTTGCTTATCTTCTCTGTTTGTTTGTTATTTACTTCTCACATCTCATTTTGATGTTGAATATCCATTGTATTTTGGCCTTTCGTTGCTTCTTTTTTTGTGTTGTATTTGGAGCCGCGGTTTGTTCTGTTTTTTCACCAGATTTCAGTCAATGGTTGCTATATGTTTCTTCTTCAGTGTTCCAACATTTAACCTATATGTTTTGCTGTGTTTATTTGGGCTTTTGTTCTTCTCTCTTTTGGATTATTTTTATTTAATAATGTTATTAGTGTACTATATAAACTTGAAAAATCTGCGTTGTCAGCTTCTCATTCTTCTCTTGCTTCTTCTCTGATTTTTCCTCATTTTAGTATGTTTGATGCTATTTGTTTACTTTTTCAAGTGTTTTAACATCTTTTTATGACGCTGAGAAAGGCAAAGAAGTATTATATGTTATTTCTTCACTTATGCGTAGGTCGCTGGATCTATTTTCTTAGCAATTTGCTGATTACATTTTACAGTTTACACTTTAAGTTTACGTTTTACTTCAACATACCCCTCATTTTATCTTACTTTTAGGCTTATGATTTTGATAGTTGATTCCTTTATATAACTTATAACTAAGATTTAAAACTGTTTAAGTTAAATATTTCTGCAGCCCGTTCATTTGACGTTTTCTATAAGATGATTCAAAATTGGATAAAGCTTAAGTTTAATTAGGATTACAATTTATATATACACAATTTATCCTCCTTGCTAAGCTTGATCTATTTTCTTAATTGTTTTTTCTATTGATTTTAAACCCTTGATGCTCATAGTGCATCCTGAACTTTCATTTTTCTCAATGGTTTTGAAGCACATAGTTATGGTATTTCTACATATTTTGGGGTTAAAATTTAAAAGGTGAAGGAGAGGAAATAGTTAAACTTGCAGATGAAGTTTGACTTTTTTCAGCGACAAAAAAATGTTGTTAACTCCAACTTTGCCAGCGTTGTTGTGACTCTAGACAGATTAGAGTGGAGAGCAGAGTTAAAGATGAAACCCTTCGTTTTATGGATATGCAATAGTTCTCTTAATTAATTATTCTGCTCATGCATGATCTTTTTCTCATTAATTTGTAGTATCAACTATCAACTTCTTAAATACTAATTTTTTTTGGCCAATATGATATTTTTGCAGATAATAGATGTGGTCATGTGTTTGACAAAATTCCCCAATGAAGGCAATACTTACGTGTTATGAAAATTGATTAGTTTCAACAGTTGATTGTCTTGGCAGATGTTAATGATGTTGAACTATCTACTAAGGGTGAGTAGATGTTTATCCTCTTGATATCTTTTTTCATTTAGTACTTTTCTAATAAAATTGATAAATTTTACAACACTCGGGTGATTCGTTCAGCAAGAATTTGAGTAGTCGAATTTTTTGGTGTTGCCATGAAATTACCAATTATATCAAAGGCTGAAACCTCAGAGTAAGCTTTCATTGTTGATCTTTTTGTTGTTGTACTAAATTTTCAAAAAAAATTAGCTACTAATATAGTCATTTGAGAGATATATATCTACAAATAAGAGATGTCTTATTAAATGTGACTATATCTGTTAGCACATCAGTGCGTAAGCAAAAGCCTGAAACATATTTCAAAATTATTTATTTATTCATTATGTAAACTATTTGTTTATAACTAGGAATAAGAGTTGTCTTTTTAAATGTAACCAAATCTGTTAACACAATATTACAGGAAAAGAAACACAAACAGAATACAATGGACAACTAATTTAGTCGTTCAGCAAGAATTTGAGTTGTCAAATTTTTAGGTATTGCGATGAAATTACCAATTATATCAAAGGCTGAAAACTCAGGGTAAGCTTTCATTGTTGATCTTTTTGTTGTTGTACTAACTTTTCAAAAAAAATCAGCTATTAATATAGTAATTTGAGGGATATATATCTAGGAATAAGAGATGTCTTATTAAATGTGACTATATCTGTTAGCACATCAGCGCGTGAGCAAAAACCTGAAACATATTTCACAATTAATTATTTAATCATTATGTAAACTATTTGTTTAACTAGGAATAAGAGATGTCTTTTTAAATGTAACCAAATATGTTAACACAATATTACAGGAAAAGAAACACAAACAGAATACCAATGGACAACTAATTTAGTCATTCAGCAACAATTTGAGTTGTCAAATTTTTTGGTGTTTCCATGAAATTACCATGACTTTAAGTTATTTTTTAGTTTAGAAAGTGTTCATAAACATAAAACCGTTTAAAAGCATTTTTGAAAGTCAAAAAGGTACCAAAAACGGGCTAAGAGAGAAGCTTAAGACGTTAAATCTCTCTGTGAACATCTCCTCAAGTTTTGTTCATTTGGGATGCCTTACTGTAGTATTCTTCATGATGATTTAAGGTAAATTTACATGTTCCTCAATCTGGCTAATATGACCAATTTTCTCTTCAAGGTTTATTATATTCATCAAGTCCCTGATTCTAATATTTAAAGAGTTGTTTTAGCTCCTTCTACTTCTTGTACTATGCTTCAACACAAAAACACAAGACCAGAAAATCCACCATTGTTGATGCAACTTCTTCCATTATTAATTTGTCTTGTGAGCTTTATAGTATGAGTAGGTTCCTTCTCTTTGTGCTTTACTGCTTTTATATATTTTTGTGTACGAGTTTGAAATATTTATTTAAAATTTTAAAATTGGGTGAAGAGAGGAATTCTCCTCCCATATCAGTACCAATCAATGAAAAAATTAATATATGAAAAACGATCTCTCTCCCCCCCCCCCCACCCTCTCCTACACTTAATGAAAATTAGAGGGAATTAGATGTTCAATGGAGTAACATGAACCATGAGATTTTTTAGCCAACCCTAATTTATTCGGGTTGATGTTATATGCTCTCATTTTGACAATTGTCAAGATTCCTTTATAGGATTATTTGGTTTAATATAGTTTTAGCATCTGAATGTATTAATTCCTTATTATCCAGCTCTATATACGTTTGCATATTAACATGATTATGTTGATTAATAAGATATCAATTTGCTTTCTAATTTTCTCCTTTTCTCTTTGTTGACAATAGTAACATCAAAATTTATTTGAAAAAAATAGTGTTCCGTCTCCACTTCTTCATTTCTATAATCTATTCATTTGTTCTCACTATATGTGACATTGAGCTCTGTTTTATTGATTATTGAAAACTTGAGTCTCATTACTATATGTCAATGATTTTACTTGATTTTTTGCAGGACTCTATCTTTTCTCAATATCACTTACACATGTTACATTATCTGTTTGCCCATACTCAGAACTTCACACTATTTACGCCCAATATCGATGGAGCTTAGTCTTGAAATTGTAAGTTCCTTCATAGCCGCAATAGTGCTCATCATTTGATAATTCATGTTTTACCAAATGAAACATGTTACATTACATTCATTGAAATGTTGTTGGCCTCTTCCAATGTGTATGTGCCACAATTCAAACTTCCAATATCTAACTTCTTAAAATGTTGTGATCTTCACTTCTTCATTAAGGTTGGGATTTGGATCTAGAATGAATATATTTGTTAAGGAATTGTGTTCATTGTTACTGCTCTATGTCAAAGAGTAATTTTATAGCACATTTATTGATATGTATTTCATATATTTATATGTTTGATTCATGGTATGATCTTATGCGCTTATTATAATAATAAAAAATTCTTATAAGGCAACTATTGCACATAGACTATAAATTATTAGTACTTCAACATGAATGAATGTTTGGTTCTATCATGATGCAAGATTGAAATATGATCAATGTTAGTTGATGGCACAAATAACTCATCTCTTTCTCACATGTATATGCAAATGCTCTATTCAGATTACAGAATTCACAGTGAGTTAGCTTGTGAGTTAGTTTCCAGGGAATTTGCATGCTATGTACTTAAATGAATATAAAACTGTTTTTACTTTTCTCTTGGTTACCTTTTGCTTCAACACTTAGACCTCATACTGTTGAAGAATGCAGTCACAATTTCAGTAGAACATTGGACAAATTGAAACATGTCAATCACCAAGTATATCTGACCTAGTTCACTAGCAAATTGTTTGGTCCTTTCTAATTTAAAGAATAAGTCTTACTAATTTTGTTATGTCCAGGTAAGAAGATATCTATTATCTCAAGTAGTAATTTATTGATTTTTACAGACATGAAAGCTTTATGTATATATACATACCAACTGTAAAATTAAACTAGGACATGAGAGTTAAAACTTGCTACACGACCATTTTGTTACCTCAAAAATAATATACTGGTTTTCAGTTTATTTTTATATAGTTACAATAATTCTTAATTCTCAAACAAATATTCAAAAGATCCTAAGAGGCAACTTCATAGCAATCACTCAAGATAAATACACAATACATATACTTGAACAAAGATAAGTGATTTCTGCCATTTATATTTTCTACTCCATATTTATGAAGTTAGAATTCCTTCTGTGCTCTTCCTCAATCAATTCATTTAATAATACAAAAAATAAAAGTAAATATAGAAAATTACACCATCCCAGTCTCATCCACAAACACAAATGACAGAAGTTCCAAATTTATATATCTAATATTATTTATAAAATTATGGAGCTCAAAAACAAACTTGGACCAAAGGCTATTCAAATTCTACTGTCAAATATAATAACTTCTTTTTCTGGCATACATCATCAAATTCTACTATCAAATGCAATAATTTTTTCTCTATTTTGGCACAATCTTATTGGCTGCCAAATCCATCAATTTTAAAGAAGACACATGTACTTTTATATAGTATAATGTGTCTACTTTGTATTATATATATATACACACACACACACACACACACTATTCATCATTACTCATAAAGCACAAATTTGTCATCCTTTCCATCGAAGAAAAAAACTATTGCTCCTTTTCTAAGGTATTTTTTCCCCTTTTCATGTTTTCCCTCTTCCCATTTTCAATTTTTCTTGCAGATTTTAGTTGTCACCAAAGGAGAAAATCAATATGGGACAATTTTCACTTAAAATTCCAATTTTATTACTAGCAGACAAATTTGAGGATATTATATTTTCTAATGTTTCACTAAGTTAGGGATAATTATGTTCTTGCATGTTCTGAATTTCATTACAAATATTCCTATTGTACTTTCATTACAAATTATATACTTTTAGTATGTGGAGGACAATATGTTCTTGCATGTTCTTCCTAATTTAATTGTTCATGTTCATGCAACCACATAAAAGAAAGGACTTTCACTCAATAGTGATGCTATTTTGCAGATACTACTGCTTAGTTAAATATTTCTAACAAACATGGTACTAAGATTGGACATCGATCAAATAGAATTAACAACACGAGATTGGATTTGTAAAATTCAAATTGTGGAAATCCGACGCCAGAGAGAAAGCCTTGACAAGAAATGTAGATTCCAAAATTTGATTTTGGAAGATGAACAGGTGAGCTCATTACATTTAATCTCATGAATATTCTCCTTTTTTAATATTTACCTCATATGAAAATTTTTGTTTTGTTTTACTCTTAGTAAATAGTTTGACTTATTCTCAGATCTCTACAACTCTTACTTTCAGGAATGTCAAATAAAGGCAGTACTGTATGCCGATGAAATTGAACAGTATGAAAAAATGCTTAAACTCGTGAATACCTATCTCATCTATACCGCAAGAGTCAAAATCTCCCAAACATCACACGGCAAGCCGATACATAAATTTTCTGGGTTCTTGACAAAGAAACAGTAATTGAACATATCACACCATCTAATGGAGTTAAGAAACCACTTCCACCACCAACCAAGCTGAGTATCACAACCTTTAACCGCATTCCTCACATGATGCTTGATTCTGCTGTTGAAATCGGTATGTCCATCCTAATAACTTCTACAACAGTAAAATATACCTGCTTACTGATACGCACACTTACAAAATTTCATTCTTTATTATATACGCAGATATACTGGCAATCGCTCTTCGTTGTGGTTCTCAAAAATACGCAGGTCACTGTCATCATAAGTGTCGAGAAATTATCATTTGTGACAATCAGTAAGCACATTTTGCCTTATATTTTTCCATTTAATGAAAATATTTTGAATAAGTAAACACTTTTATTGTTTATTTAATCGTACCATCACTTATCATCTGGTCGTTATCATGGTACTTCAGGAAAAATCAATTTCTCCTCACTCTATGGGAGGATTTAGGAGAAATTGAAGGAAATGAAATCGAAGCAAAAATGGAATAAGAGACGGATCTTATTGCTTGGCAGGAATATAGGAATCTCTACTTTTCAAGGTACATGCATTGAACTTTTTACCAACATAATTAAGATAATAACAAAACGTTATGCAAGCTTTCTGTCTTACAGGGTTGTCACTGCAGATTAGGTACAATTCAACAATACGTGTGGCTCCTAATTACCCACAGGCAGTAGAACTCACCAAATGGTACTCATATTCCATCACTATTCTCTAGCTTTAATTTGCATTTAAAGAACCTATTAAACATACTATTTGTTGTAACAATAGGGCAAAAGAAAACAAATCAATGTTGTTAAGTCGTGCGTCGGACAAAACCACTACCCACCCATTACTAACTAAACCCCACCCAATTAATAATCCAACTATAATATCAAAATCATCATAAACACTACTAAAACACGATGAAATTATAGATTAATCAAAATGACATCCAAAATTATTCGAGTCCGAATCGAAGCCCCAATTAAATTTATGTTGAGCCGCTTATTTAGGAGGACACTTTCAATTTGATTCACTTTCAAGATTGAATTAGAAATTTATGATTAAAGGTAAAGAAGTAATACATCTCGAATTACTTCCTGCACTTTTTTAAAATATAATTTTATAAATATTTATGATTTGTTTTAAAACCATTAATATATTATTTTAAAAAAAATTACCTATGAAGTAACATCACATAATTGAGACGTACGAATAATTAAGATGAACATAGTCACACTTTTAAGTTTATCGGTATTTTTTATTTAGACACTTGAATGTATCACAATTTACTTCTATAAATATTTTCGTCTCAAATTTTTAAAAACCACTCAATTGGCAGTAGCTTTTCTGTTGTTGCATTAATAATGTGAGTAATTTATTAATTTGAAGGGTTTAATTAGTAATGGGCGGGTAGTGGATTGATTTATAAATTATACTAATAAGTTAAATTATAACAAATAGTTGAGCGCATCTTATTTTAAAAAATATTTAAATAGTTTAAATATAAAACCGTTAAATAAGTGGTCAATTTTGAACCAAAAGGTGGATGACAAGGGTATTTTGGACCCAATAGGTGGGTGGGAAGGGTATTTTGGAGCCAATAGGTGGATGGAGGGTAATTTTGTACCATTTTCAATACTTTGAGAGTATTTTAGACCCTTTTCCGTTGTTGAATTGTACCTACTCTGCAGTGACAACCCCGTACGACAGAAAGCTTGCATAACGTTTTGTTATTATCTAAATTATGTTGGTAAAAAGTTCAATGCATGTACCTTGAAAAAGTAGAGATTCCTATATTCCTGCCAAGGATTACAATAGGATCCGTCTCTTTTTCCATTTTTGCTTCGATTTCATTTCCTACAATTTCTCCTAAACCTCCCATAGAGTGAGGAGAAATTGATTTTTCCTGAAGTACCATGATAATGACCAGATGATAAGTGATGGTACGATTAAGTAAACAATAAAAGTGTTTACTTATTCAAAATATTTTCAATAAATGGGAAAATATAAGGCAAAATGTGCTTACTGATTGTCACAAATGATAATTTCTCGACACTTATGATGACTGCGGCCTGCGTATTTTTGAGAACCACAACGAAGAACGATTGCAGTATATTTGCGTATATAATAAAGAATGAAATGTTATAAGTGTTTGTATCAGTAAGCATGTATATTTTACTGTTGTAGAAGTTATTAGGATGGACATACCGATTTCAACAGCAAAATCAAGCATCATGTGAGGAATGCGGTCAAAGGTTGTGATATTCAGCTTGGTTGGTGGTGGAAGTGGTTTCTCAACTCCATTAGATGGTGTGATATGTTCAATTACTGTTTCTTTGTCAAGAACCCAGAAAATTTATGTATCGGCTTGCCGTGTGAAGTTTGGGAGATTTTGACTCTTGCGGTAGAGATGAGATAGGTATTCATGAGTTTAAGCATTTTTGCATACTGTTCAATTTCATCGGCATACAGTATTGCCTTTATTTGGCATTCCTGAAAGTAAGAGTTGTAGAGATCTGAGAATAAGTCAAACTATTTACTAAGAGTAAAACAAAACAAAAATTTTCATGAGGTAAATATTAAAAAGGGAGAATATTCATGAGATTAAATGTAATGAGCTCACCTGTTCATCTTTCAAAATCAAATTTTGGAATCTACATTCCCCCCCCCCCAGGGGTTTCTCTCTGGCGTCCGATTTCCACAATTTGAACTTTGCAAATCCAATATCGTGTTGTTAATGTTATTTGATCGATGTTCAATCTTAGTACCATGTTTGTTAAAAAATTTTAACCAAGCAGTAGTATCTGCAAAATAGCATCACCATTGAGTGAAAGTCCTTTCGTTTATGTGGTTGCATGAACATGAACAATTAAATTAGGAAGAACATGCAAGAACATATTGTCCTCCACATACTAAAAGTATATAATTTGTAATGAAAGTACAATAGGAATATTTGTAATGAAATTCAGAACATGCAAGAACATAATTATCCCTAGCTTAGTGAAACATTAGAAAATATAATATCCTCAAATTTGTCTGCTAGTAATAAAATTGGAATTTTAAGTGAAAATAACAAGTTTAATTTTGTCCTATGTTCTCCTTTGGTGACAACTAAAATTTGCAAGAAAAATTGAAAATGGGAAGAGGGAAAACATGATAAGGGGAAAAAATACCTTAGAAAGGGAGCAATAGTTTTTTCTTCGATGGAAAGGATGACAAATTTGTGCTTTATGAGTAATGATGAATAATGAGTAATAATGTGTGTGTGTGTGTGTGTGTGTGTGTGTGTGTGTGTGTATATATATATATATATATATATATATATATA